TCTGTTATATTTGGTCACATTTTCAAAGAGCCACTGCAGAAGGACCAGAGAGCTACACATGTGGCCCCTGAGCCGCACGTTGCAGACCCCTGGTTTAAACATTTGATATGCTTCATGAATGAATGAATGAAAATATCCTTATTTCAAAACAGATAAAACAAACAAACAAACAAAAATGTGCATACAGTATATCTATATACACATACATGAATATTTTGTATTGGGCAGCTTACAAGACAATCTGTATTTAAAAAGAGTAGGGTGAAGTAAAGACTTGTATTTTCCTACCCATTTCTTACTCTTCAGAATAAAAGTTATATAGTCTTGATTTTTATTGTTGTGAACCTTCTGATTTTACATACACATACATAGCTATCTCATTTACAGCGAAACTTAACAATAATAGCTTATTTAACACCACAGTGTTTCACTTAATCTCTAAATACCATCAACATCGACCAAATAACAACTCAAATAATATTGATATCTTTCATTATAAATAAATATGGGTTTAGGAAATTTGCAAATCATTGCATTCTATTTTTATTGACATTTTACACCCATCTTTTTTAGAACAGAGGTTGTTTATTGTACACATTTTAACTGGTGAAAAGGATGTTTTATTTAAAAAAAACTAATAGTTCACATTTTATATACAGTCAAAATTTCCCAGAAACTATTTAAGCAGCTTTCGATTGCAACATTATAATGATAAATGATGAAGAAAACTAAAAACGTTATAACTTTGCAATTAATACAGTCAGTTTATTTTCTTGTATTTGGAAGAACAATTTTAACACACATTTAACAAGACGAATTATGTTCTCCTAAAGGCATTCAAATACACAGATTACAAATTCAAGTGTCTCAAAGACACCACTGATAACCTTTAGGAATATCTCTAAAACTGAGCTTAAAAATGTTTTTGTTCCTGATCCATGCCTGCAGCAGAGGAGTGTACCTACCTGCAGACAGGTGAGCTCCAGCTGTTCAGAACCCTTCAGTCACCCAGTCCCGACTCGACCCCCTGGCGTTGTCAGTCTGTGTTTCAGGTCGTCTCTGACTGAAAAAGTCATAAGACCGTGTTTAAAAAGGGGTAAACTCTTTGTGTTGCAGTCGGCGATGTCCGTACCACTCGTCCAGGCTCGCTGCCCCTGTGGAGCTATAAAGAGGCAGGAGGAGGGAGGCAGAGCACCGAGCAGCAAATCCTGAGCTGGGCAGAGAGGGGACAGACACCCCCACAAGTTTCCACCTCACCATGAGAATACACACTTACTAACCCTGACATACTAAATGTTTTAACAAATGTGTGTGTGTGTGTGTGGTGGTGGTGGTGGTGGT